CCCCAAAACCCCAAAACCCCAAAACCCCAAAACCCCTTAAATCTTCTAAAAAGTTGCAATAAATAAATTACGTAATTGTAAATGGACAGTAAGTGCAAATATCTTATCTTTACTCCACACTCTGCATGCCAGGCTGGTCCCAGCCTGGCAAGCAGAGTGAATGGATCACATCAAAAGATAGTTCTTAGAGTGCTTACTCTCTATTAATTTTAGAAATAATTAATGCCGCTAGAAAGCAGCTTTAACATGCTTATTGTCATTCTTGATCTCTCAGGAGCAAAATATGGTTAGTGTTCGCATCGGGAATTATTATCCAAACACTCATTTCTGAAAATGCGTTTCTAATACTGATATTAAAAGAAGTGAGTTAAAATTGCGACTGAGAAAAGACAATTATTGTTGACGTCATCGATAATTAACCTTATCTATAGAAGACCTGAAGGATATTGTGGAATTGAGGAACCATAAGGGTATCTTCATTCTTTACCTGAACACTGAAGAGAACAGGTTCAACTCTACCTCTATTAACAAGATTCATGAATGCCTTGATGAAGTTGAGAAATATGAGGGGGATACTTGCTTAATCACTGTTTCAACTTCTAAGAAGATTTGGTCAAACGGACTTGACCTTGACTGGATGGCTTCTCAAGGACAAGAAGTGTTCAAGCAGAATATTATTGACTTCATCAGACTCTTTGGAAGATTCTTGATCTTTCCGGTTCCAACTATTGCTATGATCCAAGGCCATGCTTTTGCAGGAGGCTGCATGCTTGCCATGGCACATGATTATAGATACATGATGAATGGTAAAGGGTTTATCTGTCTTCCAGAACTTGACATCAACATGTGGTTGCCTTTCGGAATGACAGATGTCTGCCAGTGTAAACTAACTCCAGAAGCATACACAGAGATGTATTACGGAAAAAGATTTACTTCCTTAGAAGCTGAAAAATACGGAGTAATCACAAAAGCTTGCGATAAGAGAACTATTTTCGATGAAGTGATGATGAAAGCTAAAACCGTCATGGATAGAGGAAACAAAAAAGAAATCCTTCACAAGATCAAGTACATCACTTACTACGATGCTTATGAGAGATGCAGAAAGGGTGAAATCGAAGTGACAGTTCCCCCAGTTCAGAGAGCTAAGATTTAGATTTCTCCTCTTCAACATTGAGGAAACGATTAGGGGTTTTGGGGTTTTGGGGTTTTGGGGTTTTGGGG